GGGAAAGGAAAGGATTCTGGTTTCAACCGTTGCGTATATTAGCTGCGACACATGAATCAAGATGCTATGACCGAAAACATTTGATTGACAGATGACCGTTGATATATGATTGGCCGAATGTAGATGTACAGGCTGACGTAGAACTAACTGGCCTGCAGAAGATAACGGAAAAACACAGATTTTTGACAGGATTTTTAAAAATAGAAATGTTCTAACGTTTTGGACACTATGATCTGATAAACAGTATATTTATATATATGTTTAAGCCAGAATGATTTGACATTTAAATATGATTTCCCTACGACTTTTTTTTTCCGGAATGACTATGACCTGGATGACTGAGAATCTTCACCAACATCAGAGGAAAAGAAAACCAGATCCAGTAGAAGAAGATCAGACAGATGGACGTCTGGACAGAACCAATGAACTGAATCCATTCAACCAGCATCTTCCTCTCCTGCCCACAGTCACATGGACATCCTGTCCTCCTCTGACATCACTTCCTGCTTCTATTAGTTTGTTCTCAGCCAATAATGAGCAGCCTTCCTCCAGATCAGAACCGCTGGGAGCTACAGAGGCTGCAGCAGCACAAACTGTGCTGAATAACCAGTCAGCAACGAGCTGAATAACCAGTCAGGAAGGAGCTGAATAACCAGTCAGTCAGTGGTCAGCCTGGCCTCCAGGTTTGCTGGTTGTACCTTTTCTCCAGAGAAATAAAGATGGCGGCGGCGTGGCGGAAGCTGCTGCAGAGGCGGTACAGCGTTCTGAAGAGGCCGTCCGTCAGGTCGTCATCGTAGCAAACTGGAGACAGAAACAGGAAGATCAGTGGCTCCCTGTGGTTCTGACCCCATCAGGACCGGGACGGTCCTCCTTCCAGAACCCTGCGCCTCCTTTCAGAGGAACCATGGCGTTCAGAGCTCACAGGTGCAGGTCATTGGAACATGAACAGAGTGACGGTTTAGGAGCAGTCTGTGAGGAGCGTCACGGTCGTCCAATCAGCTCCCAGCTATGGACCCAGCAGCCTTCATTGGTCACTGGGATCCAGAGCTCCGTCTGACGGCTGCCAGTAACCATGTCTGGGTGTGAATGCTAACGTGATTTATCCTCCATTCAGAAAACTCTAGAACGATGAAGTAGAAGCTGGAGGAGTTTGATAGTTTAGAACCTACCATCAGCAGCCAGAATGAAGCTGGCGTTGTCATAGAGATCAGCCACTTCCTCTTCTGTCCAACTAAACTCCCCGTCAGCATCTAGACAGCAGAGAGGGAGGAAGCCTGATGAGATGATGGTGGACCACAGCACAACATCTGAGAGCAAAATACGCGGAAAAAAATACACAGGAAAAATACACAGGAAAAATACACAGGAAAAAAAAAACAGGAAAAAATACACAGGAAAAAATACACAGGAAAAATAGACGGAAAAAAATACACAGGAAAAAATACACGGAAAAAAATACACGGAAAAAAATACACGGAAAAAAATACGTGAAAAAAATACACAGAAAAAAATACACGGAAAAAATACA